GGGCCCCAGACCCACTCAGACATCTGAAAGGTGCTGGTTGGGCTTCATTGACTCCACACATGGACAGGAAACCCCTTCTAGACATTTTGCATTATTCAGGGAACAGGGCAGACAAATCTCCCTGCCCCGCGGGCCTCTGTTCTAGGTGGGGGTCCTCCGGGAACCCTAGACGACAAAGCAGAGATGGGCACAGGACATTGCGTGGGACGCCCTGCCGGCCTCCTCTAGATGGGGATCCCTCTGCTCTCATCGTCGGAAGGATGACGGGCCTTAGGATGAAGAAGAGCCCCTGTCTCCAAGGTGGGGGTCATCTGGGGCTTTGGCGGGGCTGGGGGGCTGGGCAGAGCCCTGGCTGCCCCGCGTCTGTCATGGCTGCTGGAGGGCGGCGGTGTGGGGGCCCCTCCTGCAGGACAGGAGAGAGACAGCCGAGGCTGTGGGCCCGGGGCCTAGGGAGCGGAGGGGAGGCTGGGGGCCCCCACCTGCCCTGACCCGATCCAGGGCCACCCGCGCACATAGGGGCCTCACACTGGGTCCCCCACGTGGGGGCCTGCACGTGGGGCCTGGACAGGCCGGGCAGACATCCCCAAGAATAGTGTCGGTGAGGAGAGCCCATGTGCCTGCAGGGGGTCAGGCAGCCGTCGGAGCAGGGGCTGGGGGCCGAGGGGCCGTGAGAGCCCAGGCGGGCTGGGCCGAGGGACACTGCCCGTTCCCTCCTCCCTCACGGACTGCTGCAGCTCCTCTGTGATTCCCCAGCGCTGGGACAGAGCAGACACTGCACCGCCTCCCAACCCTCCTGGAGTTTCCGGTGCAGCAGGAGGGACCCCAGACAGACAGAGGCGTGGGGCAGGCTCCCCTGAGGAAGGCAGGGGTGCTCACACCCGTGATGGAGGGCTCCCTCCCATGCAGACTGCCGGCCCCCCGCACCTGCTGGCCACACCTGCCCCTGCCTGGATGGCCAGTGTGGGTGGGCTGGGGGGGGGGGGTCCTGGCCTCTGGATGGAGCATCCCCAGAACTGCCCCAGGGGGCTGTGTGGAAGGGCGGGCCAAGCCAATAACTTTGCTTCCTGCCCACCTACCTCCAGGGCCATCGCCTCCGTTCTGGGCACCTGGCTGGACCAGACTCGGAGGACTTCTCTCAGCCCGGACGTTCCCTGCCTCAAGCAGCTGGTGGCCTATGTGCAGCTCAACATGCCCGGTTCTGACCTGGAGCGCCGTGCCCACCTTCTGCTGACCCGGCTGGAGCACGCCGAGCCCACAGAGGCCGAGCGCGAGGGTGAGAAGACCGGGGCTGGGTGCCTGTGTGTGGGGGGGAAGGGTCAGGGCTGGTCCCACAGGGAGGAGCCCCGGAGGCTGGTGTGGGGCCTGGAGCAAAGACTGGGCTCCGAGCGCCCAGCGGGTGGACTGCAGTCGGGGAGACGTCCCGGGGAGGGCTCCTTCCTACCTGGGGCATCTCTGGGAGACTCTGGGCTGTGCACGCACAGGTGTGTGTCTGATCTGGGAGCCGCAGGGGGGCTGGGCAGGGGGACATTGGAGACGTTGGGCAGGGCTGTGATGCCTCCGAGCTGAGTGACAGTTCCCGTGTTTGCAGAGCCCCATGGAAGCTGGCCTGGCTTCTGCCCCTGCGCCTGGCACCTCACCCGAGCTAGAGACACAGGTGGAGCCCGGCTCTAGCTCCTGAGATGGTGGAGCAGCTGAGAGAGGAGAAGAAAAGCTCACCCCCGTGCCTGCTCTCCATGGGCCTTTGCAAGAGAGAGCCCAGCCCAGGGCCTCCCAGAGAAGCCGCAGCCAGAAAGGAGCCCTCCCTGGGTCATCGCCCCGAATGCAGTCCACCTGCTGGTTGCTCTTTTTCTAGTCTTTGTTCCTGGTCCCACACCAGCCTCTGGGGGCTCCTCCCTGTGGGTCAGCCCCGACCCGTCCCCACACACCCACAGGCACCCAGCCCCAGGCTTCTCGGCCTTGGGCTCGGCCTCCTTGGGCTCCGGCTCCTGGAGCACAATCCAGTCAATGACCACCAGGGACAGTGGTCTGGGTGGTGTCGGAGGCCTTCCCCCGCAATCCCCAGCACCTGCTCTTGGGGACTCCTGTGGGGTCACGCCCCAGGTCCCGGAGATGGAACGGGTGTCCGCCAGCCTCCTCCCCATTTCATCCGTGGTCTGCAAAGACAGGGACTGGTAGCCGGCCCGGAAGCATCACAGCCCTGCCCGGCCAGCCTCCCTGTCCCCTGCCCCGTCCCCCTGCTGCTTGCAGATCAGACACACACCTGTGCGTGCACAGCCCTGCACGCGGGACAGTGACCCATCCCTGCAGGGCGATCGGGATAAACCTGGGTAGAGGCTCGCAGCTGCCCACACCCCGACCCACCCAGCCAGCCTTGACCTTGAACATGACCGGCCCACTGGGTATCTGACCCCTCATCAGCCTGCTCTTGAATGGGGTTAGCCCACCCTACATGACCCCTCTTTACACACACACACACACACACACACACACACACACACACACACACACTCGGGTCGGGACATGGGGCTGCACAGGTAGATTAGACCCTGTGCGGCTGGGTGGCTGCTTCTGTTCCTCCTGATGTCTCCTTCCGGTCTTTGTGGCCATAGGGCCAGAGACATCGGGGAGCCCTGACATGACATCCCCATTGAGGGAAAGTGTTTTCAGAGTTCATTTCCTCAGCCTGCAGCCTCCAGACTTTGGGATGCAACAGGGAAATATGTTTTTGGTTCGAGTATCTCTAATGAAATGAGCCGGGCAGGGGGCTGTCTCTGGAATGTGGGTGCCTGTGGCAGCCCTTTGGGCATCGTGGGGACCCCTGGCCTTCAGCCTGGCAAGTTACCCCTCCCCACGCCATGGCCCCGGGCATGTTTCCAAGAGTTCCCGTAGGAGCTTGCCTGTCACAGGGCTGTGACATGGCCCCGCTGTGCGTTTGAACCCAGGTCAATCTGACCCGAGCCTGAGCTCATACAGGAGCCCAAGGAAGTAGCCTTGAATGGTACAGCTGAAAGTGACGGAAGCTTAACTTTTACTGAATCTAAATATTAACTGTTAAATGTAAAAATCATAAAACATGTAACAGAAAAGGGTGATGGGTGGGGATGCCTCGGTGGCTGAGTCGGTTAAAGCGTCTGCCTTCGGCTCAGGTCAGGATCTCAGGGTCGTGGGATCGAGTCCTGGTTCGGGTTCCCTGCTCAGAGGGGGGGTCTCTTTCTCCCTCTCCCTCTGCTTCTCCCCCAGTTTGTGTGCTCTCTCCCTCTCTCTCACAAAATCTTAAAAAAAAAGTTTCTCTTTAAAA